CTCTGGGTGCCGAATCCTCGTCCACCACGGCCGCGACCTCGTCCTCGGCCACGCCCTCTTCCTTGACGCCCTCCCCCGCGGGCTGCAACAGCCGCGTAACTCCCCTCCTGAGCTACCGGTATGTTGGGTTCATCGAGACCATAGTCTACTTGATCCCAGGAGATGGTCTCGCCGCCTCCTTCCTCAAAGGTTAGAAGGAGACTGTCTTTCCCAGGTATGGACCCTGAGATCGTGCGGTTTTGCCATCTTTTACCCGCTTGCAAATCTTTCCAGTAACGGCAGTAATTTGCTTCAGCGAGGAAGTCGGCATGATCTATGGCGATCTTGCCGAACTTCTCATATGCCATCCCCTCTTCATTGGTACGGGGTAGAGTTGTGTTCTTAGGGGATCCGGGAGCGCTCGTGCAAAGCTGTTTAAGATTTGGGCCGGCGTCAATCCGTGATCAGGGCATTGCAATAGTTCATCCATAGTTGCCTTTAGCGCAGAGGTACTTTTCCATTTCCTGTCAGGAAGGCTGAGGATCGACATTTTTGTACGTCTTGCCAAGTTTTTGTCCTCAAATCTTTCTCTTACTAACTTAAGAAAATCTTCGATTCGTGTTTGCTGCAAATACTCTACCATGGAGCTGCATCCCGCTTCTTTTTGCAGCGAGATGGCGAAGCTCATGGCATCGCCTCCCATGCAGGAAGTTGCCATCAATACCTTGTCCCAATAAGGAATGCGTTGCCCTTACACGTAAGTTTCAATTGCCGCCGCCCAGTGCAATACACTTTCATCTTTCTTTCCATTGTAGGTCCACAGCAGCTTAAGCTTTATCTTGTTAACTTGCCCGGTCTCCTGAGGAAGTTTTTCCTTTGGATCCCCAATCTTCCTCTTCCCTTTCTTGTCACCATCACCGTCGTCATCACCATCGTCTCCGCCTCCTCCGGCTCCTTTCATGATCTTCTCTATAACTTCGGGAGTGAAGACTTTATTAATATGTTCGTCCAAAGTCTGGATGTAAGTTTGCACATGTTGGTCAACATCCTTGGCTGACTTTTCCACAAAGTTATTCCAGACGTTTTCGAATTCAACTCGATGTGCTTCAACCCTTTGTAGAGTCTGATCCATTAACTTCATATCTTGCCTTGTGTTGAGGACTGTCTCCCTGAGGAGTGCAAGCTGTGCTTCGGTTTCAGAGGGACTTTCCTTTTGCGCTTCTAGAGCTTTCTGCAATTTCTCCCCCTCCGCATGAAACTTCTTTTTCTCTTCTACTTCTTGCTGCCTAGCGGCCAACAGCCTACGATTTAGTTCAGACCTTTTCTCTTCCAGCATCAGATTTCATTCAACAGCATCTGTGACAGTGGCCAACTTGGCAATGAACGTATCCCGTTCTTCATCAGATTCTTTTAACGGCTCGCTGGAGTAGTAGTACTGGCTACCCCAGTTCAATGGTTCAACGGGAAGGTGGGTCATTGTGCTGCTTTCAGGTATGTCTTGGCGACGACGTCTTTCCAGCACTTCTCCTTCTTCTTGTTCTTCTTCTTCTTCTTCTTCTATACTCTTCAACTCTTCTTCCAACTCTCTGTCCATCTTCTCTTTCATCTTCTTCTTAACTTCTTCTTCTTTCTGTTTTTTCTTGGCTTCCTTTTCCTTTTTCTTTTCTGCTAGCCTGCGGTCAATTTCGGCTTGCTCCGCAGGTGTGGGGCCAGACTTCACTGTCCCTGATCGCATCAGCATGCGGGAGGGGCACACAGGTCCGAACCCCAGTGGGAACATCAGCCTGAACAGGGGCCCCAATAATACAGAAAGGGCCAACAGGCCCTGGATGGGATAGTCATCCATGACGACTGCCGGCACAGGAGATCCTCCGCCGGGTCACTAAGGTACTATCCCACTTACAGACTTGGTCTTGACTTGCGGTAATGGAGTACTTATACCTTTCCTTTCCCCTTTTTTTTTGTTTAATGGTAGAAGGTGCTGCGTACAATCAACAATAGATCAAATTAGAATGAACTTGTTTTTTTTTTYTTTTTTTTTTYGATGTGCTGTCTGGCCTCCTGGATCGAACGTTTGGTAATGTGTTCCTGTTGTCTTGCTTTCTCTTTTTTTTTTTTTGTACTAACTTGGCTGGTTGCTTGGTGCAGATATGGAGTACAGCGCAGATTCAGATGGTTCACTTATCCAACCAGGCAGAGATAATTCGTATACCCTGTTCTTTCTTTCGGGCTTGACAGGCCCTGCAGATGCTCAATATAATCCTTATGCTGCCTGGTACATGCTATCTGACGTGGCTCATAGCCCTTCCCACATCGATCCTTGGTTCTTAATGACGATACCCAGCCTGCCTATCAAGAGGGATAGGAGAGAGACCTACTCCTATTTGCAGAATGCTGGACCACCTACTCTAGTGTGACCAGTTCCTGACACATCACACTTGGGTCATCAGACCCTGACGGCTCAGACCTGACATCTATGCCAGCCCAGATCCAGACTTTGACTCCTGACCAGATCAGCAGCAGTCACCTTCAGAGGGTCAGAGAGAGAGAGAAGGTAGGGAACACACACATGCATGCAGGTTCAGGGAGAGGAGGTGCTTCTCTCTTCTTGAAGATACCGCCGATGGTGCTCCGCGACGCTCCGCACGCTCCAGGTAAGTAGATTTCGCCACTTCTTCTTTGGCCTGCTTCCCCCACTATCAAACCCTTCTTCTCTTCCTCCCTCCTTCACTCTTCCTCCATCACCACTTCTTCTCGCCGGCCTTGATCAGACCAGNGCAGAATGCTGGACCACCTACTCTAGTGTGACCAGTTCCTGACACATCACACTTGGGTCATCAGACCCTGACGGCTCAGACCTGACATCTATGCCAGCCCAGATCCAGACTTTGACTCCTGACCAGATTTGACTCCTGACCAGATCAGCAGCAGTCACCTTCAGAGGGTCAGAGAGAGAGAAGGTAGGGGACACACACATGCATGCAGGTTCAGGGAGAGGAGGTGCTTCTCTCTTCTTGAAGATACCGCCGATGGTGCTCCACGACACTCCGCACGCTCCAGGTAAGTAGACTTTGCCACTTCTTCTTCGGCCTGCTTCCCCCACTATCAAACCCTTCTTCTCTTCCTCCCTCCTTCACTCTTCCTCCATCACCACTTCTTCTCGCCGGCCTTGATCAGACCAGCGCTATGAGTGTAGCGAGCATCTGCTCCGATACCAAATTTGCATGGGTCCTGGGGACCCTTTCACGCAAGTGTGTACAAGTCATGCATCATCCTCACACACCACGAGCAATAGTCTCAAGTCATAGACAAAGGTAGATGAGAAGAGGACCGAGTTCCACAGCTTATATTATCAGAAATATGAATACAAAGTGTTTCAAAGTTCCCCTGAGTCCAGCGCTCATCAGCGCAACACCAATCTCTTGTCAACTCATCAATATGACTTCCAGTGAATCAGCGCTACTCCTGCAGATATCCTCCAAGTCATCAATGTGGACACTACTCATCAGCGCCACCTCTGCAGGTCACATCCAACTCAGGTAAGTATCTTCCATAGCCGAACCTTGAATGAACACTCCCAGCCTCAGTCCCTTCCTCCTACGATGCATACACACTCTTCACTCATGAGGATCTACTCTGAATACTACTCATAGCTACATGCTAACCCACTACTACTAACACTAACTCGCTGGGCAGCTATGGCTGCATCACTTCCAGCGTACAGGCTTCTTCCTCCTTCCTTCAGCGCATCTTCTACCTCCAGCACTGCTCCTCCTGACTCAGCGCACAAGTGCACCAGCACTTCCACGCATTGCAGCCAGTGGAGATCTGGCGAGGAATGAGGCAGGCAGCTCCCTTTATAGTGCTGCTCATTCCTCGTTGGGTCTGCATTGGCTCACTTCAGTCTTCCTTTTGTCCCAGAGCCTGCATTGCATGTGTCCCAGTAGAGTCCCAATGAAGTTCAACTGCTGCTGAGGCCTCTCGGCCTGTATTTGGACTTGAAAGTCTGGATTTAGACTGACTCCTTGACTTAGACCAGAACTGGGACTGTGCCTATTGACTTTACTTTCGGACAGGCACAACTCTCAACGAACAGACACACTTACTGCCTGAACAGACACTTTCCTTTGCACGAACAGGTACACTGCCTGCACGTACAGACACACTATTACCCGAACAGACATGACATACACATCTCCTGGTGAACAGGTAAGTCCTTTGACAATGCCCTTTGCCTTAGATTTAGATGTGCCTGTTGACAGAGAACTTGACCTTTGACCTGCTTTCACGTTTCTGAGCCCTGGCGAGATACCTTTTCACAATGCTTTACTTTTACAAAGCCCGAGCTGCTTCACTTTTACAAGGCCTGAGGCCCACATCGGGTAAAGGCCCTTTTATTACTGAATAGGAAAGAATTTCAGGACAGTACGGGAAAATTGGGCCCACTCTATTCAGACCCCACTCACTCGTTATCGTGAAAAAGTTGAGGCGGCAAACTCAATAGAAAGCATAGATGTGGTTTAAAGTTTAAACAAGCAGAAAGCCTTCTTTTTGTTTCGAACACATGCACTATGTTTGGGGAGAGATGATAGCTCTTTTAAAATCAGATGCTTGCTGCATCGTCAGCACACATACTTGAGGAGGGTGTGACATCAGATTCAGTTCAGTTCACATATGGCCAGGGCCCAAATAGCCAGAGAGTAGTGGGATCATTCAATTCAATCAATCAGTACGAAAACCATAGTATGCAAAACCGCTGACCCGGCCCACGTAGCCGAATGGTACACACACGACTCTTAGTAAACAGATCATGAGCTTGACTTCTGATGGAATCAGGTGAATACAACAACGTCATGGCTACTCCCTAAATGCCTACATGAAAGTGAAGTACCATAATACTGATAAAGAACACTATTCGATAGTAATAAAAGTGAAGGGCCAATGCATCGTTGCAAGATGAGGAGGCGGAAAAGGAAAGCGAAGATAAGGGTTGTTCCACACAAGGTCTTCGGTGCACAAACCTCTGATCCCATACAAAGGTGAAAGACTCTTCTGCATTTTCTCCCAGCAAGTGTTCCAACAACCCATGAACATTCCGCTGCAGAGCAGAGCTCCAAATCCCAACTGCAAAATTTGCCTGTGCCCACCGGATGAAGTCTCGGCTATGCGCTCGCTCCCAGATATAGAACTGCCCCACAGCTCCGTCTGGAGGCCTGAAAAACTTGACTCTTGAACCACAGCTTAACCGACTGTTGTACTCCTTCTTGAAGCAGCGGTGCACCAGGAATCCGTTAATGTCCACAATCAAGAGCTGGAACAGCAAAGAAAACCCACAAAAGTAACAAAACTACATTAACCACTAGATCACATGCAGCAGAAAGGGTTGAGGGTTTCCAGGGAGATTGGAAGAGGAGCAATGGGAATGAGAGAGAGAGAGATGAAAATCAAGCGTCCCTCCAATAAGCATCCATAAATGTAAGCACCTAGGAAGGACAGACGGATATCTGGTCGACCGGCCAGAATTCACCAGGGTCATCAAGCCGGACGACCATGGATACAGTCCATCCAGGCCCAGCGCAAAACATGCACCTGCCGAGACAACGATCTGAGAACCTGGGTGGACCAGGCTCATCTACAGGCCCACAGCTGTGCAAAGAGACGGCCTTAAGAGCTGCAGACTTCGGAAAAATAAAAGGCCCAATCTGGATCATTGACCTTGAAGATCTGGGCTGGGGGCTGTTTCAACAACATTGGCACACACAGTCCGAAAGAGAGATGAACACGGGTAGTTCATGCCCACCAGCTCCCCCCATTCCAGCCACCGTCGCCTTGATTGTGATTACAACCCTACCTCCATCCTCCTTCCCCTCCTCATCTTCTCCATTCTCCGTTCTCCGTTCTCCTTCTTCTTCTTCTTCTTCTTCTTCTTCTTCTTCTTCGTCGTCGTCTTCTTCTTCTTCTTCTTCCTCCTCCTCCTTTTAGGGGCACATTGGAGGCATGCATCAGTGCCCGACAAGCACATTTGAACTGCATGCTTGAGGTAACAACCTCACACTTCAAATGAGCAGCTGAAGAAAGAGACACACCTTCACATGTTCGAAGCACAAGTTGGTGCTTGACATGCGCAGTTGAAGCGAGTGCTCAAGGTGAAACGGTATTCACCAACTCGCAGTAGCTGATGCAGATCCCAGGGCTCGATCCCTAGCCCCCACCTTACCTGTGTACAGTACCTGTGTTGACCCGTGGAGTTGAACCCGCGACCTGTGTATTTGTAACAGCTGATAGGTCGTCGTAGGGTCCATAGGTAGCCTGGGTTTGATCTGTAGACCTGTCGGTTAGGAGTCTTAGCCAGGCTTAGAGGTCGTAGCCACAGCTTTTCTGAAAGGTCAAGAGTCAAGGTCGTAGCCCCGACAGGACCAAAAGGCCAAGTCCACGGCCTTCTAGAAGGTCCCAGTGGTGGCCTTTCGAGGCTGCCCAAGTTGAGGCAGAGGCAAGTGGGCAAGTGGTGGAAGTCCACCGTGCAAGTCAGCAGTCCCAGTCCAGTCAGTCCGGTCCAGTCAAGCAAGTACCGCCTGGGACTGTGTGCACCGCGGGCCAGGGCAACAAGGGCAGACCAACGAGTCACAGAAGTATAAATCAAGAGGCCGCGCACAGCCATTCATTCATTCCTGCGGAAGCCATGCGGAAGCCATGCGGAAGCGCTGTCTCAGCGGCTTGTGCGAGGAGGTCTGCAGTGACGCCCGAGGACGAAGTGGGCAAGAGAGATGAAGTGCAGCCATAGCGATAGGGTAGAGGCAGCCATCGCTGCCATAGCGGTAGTTTAGAGTGATGTGTGTGTGTGTGTTGCGTGAGTGTTCAGAGTGGTGCGTGTGGGATATCCAGGGTGATCCGGTGTATGTGAACAGTGAGTTGTGGGCGCTGAGTCGCCATAGCCAGTGGAAGTGAACTCTTATCTGGGTGCCATATCTCTGAGTTCTGAGTGGGCGCATGTCGCCAGTTTGCTGCGATGCTGTTTACATGCATGAAAAGTGTGAATGAGACGAGTCTGATTGCAAAGGTAACGAACACAGAAAAGAAAATGAACACGACGGATTCCTTTGTAACCATGTGTACACGACAGTTTATTCCCAAGAAACCAAATCACGCCCTCTCTCTCTCTCTCTCTCTCTCTCTCTCTCTCTCTCTCTCTCTCTCTCTCTCTCTCTCTCTCTGTGTGTGTGTGTGTGTGTGTGTGTGTGTGTGTGTGTGCGTGCGCGTGTGTTTTGTTTAAAAGACCCCAGATTCTCTCTACACTCCCTTCACAAATCATCACAAGCCATCCATAAAACAAAACGGTTAGAGATAGGCAAAATAATAAAAAATAGTAAAATATGGAAGGTTGGCTATGTTTTTGTGGTTCAGCGCCCAGTGCTCACACACCCGTCTCCCGCCAAAGCGGCACACTTGCACATACATCCCTCTCTGCCTATGATTTGCCGGGCAGCTCTGTTTGACGATATATATTTCAAAGTCCATAAGGGGATGCAGGGCAGAAGGCAACTTACCTAAGACAGAAGACTACTCCAGCAAGAAGGCACCGACCCGACCCCCTCAAAGGTCGGAAAAAACTTGGAGAGCCTTCCGCATCGGCCACAAAACCAAAAACTCATGTACCAAAAACAAACAAATATAACAGCTTTGGCATTCCCGACATCCATCTCAAACTACACACTCGCATCACTGCCAAAGAGGAGGAAGAAGATAAGAGACAACTTACCTAAGACAGAAGACCCCTCCAGCAAGAACGCACGGACCCACCCTGCTAAGGGTCCGAAAAAACTGGGAAAGCTTTCCCTGCCGGCCCACAAAACATACATTCCCCCCAAAGAGAACTTGTGGCCACCCGTAAACATCCAAACAGCCCATGCTCTAAAGCAGGGCAAAAAATTAGGCCGTGTATAGTCAACAAAACCAACAACATATATCCAACCACAAAAAGAGAGAATAGCTCCCTAGTACGAGCCCGATCCAAGCCGCTGAAATCTGCCAAGACAGAGAGCTAGCAAGACCGGAATGTGTGTTGTTTTAAAAGACCCCAGATTCTCTCTCTCATTCCCTTCACAAATCATCATAATAATAAAAAATGCAAGGTTGGCCACGTTTGTGTGGTTCAGCGCCAAGTGCCCACACACCCGTCTGCCGCCAAAGCGGCACACTTGCACATGTACAATATGTATAGTAGTATACATATATATTTCGAAGTCCATAAGGGGATGGAGGGCAGCAGGCAACTTACCTAAGACAGAAGACTACGCCAGCAAGAAGGCACCGACCCGGCCCCCTCAAAGGTTCGAAAAAACCTGGAGAGCCTTCCGCATCTGCCCACAAAACCAAAAACTCGTTTACCAAAAACAAGGAAATATAACAGCATTTGCATTCCTGACATTCATCTCAAAGCGTCACTGCCAAAGAGGAGAAAGAAGATAAGAGACAACTTACCTAAGACAGAAGACTCCTCCAGCAAGATCGCATCGACCCCCCCTGCTAAGGGTCCGAAACAAATGCGTGTGTGTGTGTGTGTGTGTGTGTGTGTGTGTGTGTGTGTGTGTGTGTGTGTGTGTGTGGTAGGAGGGTGTGTGTGTGTGTGTGTGTGTGTGGTTAGGTACGATAATATGAGGGCTTCTCCATTTTTTTGTTTAAAAATGAAAGAAGATTAGAATGGCAGTGGGCAATGGTCAGGATGTGATAGGTCGCAACACACAGGCCAGGCTGGGGAATAATGTCCTTTTGGTGTGACAGTTGGCTTGAGTGTTGGCCTTCCGTACAGGCTGAGCCTTCACCTGGGTCTCTGTAAGTCGTGTAAACCACCGAAACTGAAAGTAAAAGAAGTTGTAGAGGAACCGAATCTCATTTGTGTGGGCCCTAGGTTAGTCAGGGAAATGTCTGACTAACCTAGGCCCCACACAAAAGAAGCCATAAAGGAACTGAATCCCATTTGAGTGGGGGCTAGGTTAGTCAGATATTTGCCATACTCTTTAATGATTTGATTTTTATCAAATTTTATCAATTTTTATGTTATTTCCATTTCTTTCTTTTTGCAAAACACAAGTGAAGCTGCAATCACCTGGTTTGAAATGAGATGGTGCGATGTCCTGATTTGCTGACCATTCGTGTCAAAAATTCATCCAATCTGGCCATTGAACAGGCATGTAGTCTTTTGGTACGGACTCTGGTGTGTGATAGACTGCTATTACAGCGACGGGGCCCTGTCCCTTTGTCCTGACTAGGGGATCTGACTGCCCATGCAGCTTTTTCGCTTCTGTCAGCCTTGGGCACTCGCCCCTACAAGTGGTAATTTTATTTTTTTCTGGCTTGGAAGTCTTTCTGTATTTTTGACTTCTTATCATTCTTTTGGTTTTCTTTTCCTCACTTTTCTTGCTCCAACCAATGCTAGACATCAAAAGATGTCATGGTGCTCTGGCAATCCCTTTAATACTTTCGGCTCTTGGAAATTTTTTTGTATGATATTTTGCCAAAGATATGATGATTGGTTTAGGTGCTAATTTTTGTGCAATTTCCATATTATTATTTTTCCTTATTTATCTCACTTTTCTTGCTCCAGCCAATGCACTGCCAGTACATCGCCCAGGCGAGCTTGACAATCTAAAACGAGTCATTCCGAAAAGTTTGAAAGCTTGGGGCAGCCAGACCAAAGTGGCTGGCGCCGCCAGTGAAAAGAAAAGAAGAAGTGTCACGCGGGCATTTTGGCAAAGTTTGGCATGCAGGGGGAACCCGCCTCGGCAAAAGAAGGCTTGTGTAAAGACCTGCAAAATCACAGACTGAGAACTCTGCTATTTTCTGAGTTTTGCCGCTGGATTGTGAGACTTGCTGAGAGCCCGCTTTCTGCTGAGATTTCTAAGTCTGTGTGTGTGCATGCTTGCTGAGTTTCCGTGTGTTTGTCTGAGTGCATGATAGCTTGGGTGTGTGTGTGACCTGCCAGGGTACTTGTATGCTGGGCAGGCCCTCGGCCTGGTACTTACCTGCGGGTGTGCCTTTGTGGGTTGCAGTGGGGTGTAGCGGTGGGCTAGGCCGCGTAGATGGAAAAGAATCAGGTAGCGGGTAGGCCAGGCCCTCATAGGATGGAAAATACTTGAGTATCAGGTAGGTATGCAGACAAAGACAAAGTTAGTGCCTTTAGAGGCTGAAGGGATTTTAGAGTCCAGCAGGCTTAGGTCTAGGGGTACCGGTCCAGTAGTCTTAGTCTAGGGCCTGTAGCGAAGGATATCAGACCTGCAATGATGTTTCCTTCCGAAAGGAGGCCGGTACTGGTAG